TAATTAAAAATATAATAATTACATTTTTTTCAAAACGGTTTAATACTTTAATTGGAAAAATAAATAATAGGTGAACTTCTACTTTATTCAGAAAAGAAGCCCGGGTTTTTTTCAAAATAATGAGTGGGTTTAAGCCAGAATAGCAGCTTAGGTTTTTTTGCGGGCTGGGCTTTTTCGTGCCAACCCTGATATTATGAACGTATGCTTTTGGCAAATAAATTATTACAGTGAGCTTCGGCCAATAAATAAATCACTCGGATAGTCAGATTAATTTACTGGTCTAGGCTTGAAACCTACAAATTATTTGAAACCGGTCTAGTACAACCAACCAATCAATTTAACGCTACACAACCATATGGTTGTTTTTTGCGTTTATTGCGTTTTTTCGTGTAGGGTGAATGTATGAGTGTGTAAACGTGTAATGGTGGGAGTGAGAATTGGCCTGATTCGAGCTCTCAGCTTCGACATTGACTCGTTTAGCAATTCCACCTAGTCGATTGTATTACGGTAAATTGACAATATTGACCATACAAAACAAGCAATTGGATGCTTACAATACACAGCAACGTTTTCCCTGCATCGAGCTTAGTTTTGGATCAAAGAAATATATAGCTGAGTCCGAGCAGGGCCGTATTTACACATTTTGCGCCCTGGGACAACAATATTTGTACGCCCACCCCCCCTAAAAAAAATCCAAGATTTGAAAATGTAATACAAGATTCCTCGTAAGTTATTGCTTGGTAAAAAAGCTTGACAATTTAATGTAAGGCTCCTGATATTATATTGTTATAAAGTTATTGTATAAAGTTGAAGCAGAAGGCATTTAGTAATATCATAGACTGACTGTCGACTGACCGTTTTCGCTCATAATCGTTTTTCTTATACAATGATATTATATCATTGAATTCAAATTTAATACCATCCATTACAGTGACCCACTTGTCACCTACTGTTCAGCATAGCGACATCCACTTACCCACTTTTTTATATGTTTACTTGTAGTTCTTTATTTATGTACATTTTGTTAAGCACACAGATCATGATGATACATTATTTTAATTATTGTCAAAATGTATGACAACATACAAATGTAATCTATAAAAAAATTACAAAAATTAATAGTTATCATTGATTGACAAAATGAATAGATGACGCCAAATAGCCGTATCATAGTCATGCAATGCAAAAAGTCCAAGTATAGGACAAGAAATTATAGATATTATAGAAATTATAGATCAACAAATTCTTACTAAAAAAAAAAATGTTATTTATATAATATACACCGGCGCCTGGCCGCCCCCCTAAATGTGTCAAAAATTGGCCACCCGGGCCAAAGGTCCCCGTGCCCCCCTTAAATACAGGACTGAGTCCGAGTGAAAATTGATAAAATTACAAACACAAATGCCTATGGTACGTATTATTGTACGCTACGATTGTTAATTTTTTCCAAACTAGATTTACCTTGCGATCCACAAAGTTGTCACGGTTTTTCGGACCATGCATGCCGGCAGGGGTGTAATTACGGGGGGGATATGGGGGATAGATCCCCCCCATGAGCTGTATTTATATATTGTCTTATACCTACAAATAGTTCAAATAAAAACTTATAAATTATTACGAAACTAAAAAAAAAAAAAAAGTTTAGAAGTTGTGTACCCGTATATAAATATTTACCCGTTAACGATAAGCATGATTTCAAAATAAATGGTCTGATTCATTTTAATTCTTATTTATTAATAAACATTGGGTGCCTTGCCACACACTATACCTAATTTTGAATAGATTATAGATGGTAAGTAATCCGATAATTTGAAAAACCACCATTCCATAAACATAATATAATAATAAAAATGTAACTAAGATTTACATTTCGTAGAACGAATAATAGCCATAGATACTAGGTACTAAGAACGCGCGCCGACACAAAGTATTGATTATTGATTATTGCGATTACGTATAAACAGTAAACACTACATCAGCGGTTCCCAACCTGGGGGTAATTACCCCCTAAGGGGTAAAAACACGATTTTTGGGGGGTAAAAGTTAAACTTGTATTTTAAGTACTTATTATCCATTTACTCATGTGTATTATGACTGTAAATGAAATTGTAGTAATATAATATTGTTGTTAATAGTTTTGGGAAATACCTTATCTTATGTCCTAATGACACTGATAATTTTATTATCTTCAAATAATACTTAGAGTCTTAGAATATAACATTATATTGAATTTCCTGGAATTATTTTTGTTGTACCATTGTCTACACATTTTATATTTTATACATCTTAATTATTAACATAATATATATTTTGTTTTGTTTTTTTTTTTACTCAACTTTTTTTTGGGGTCGGGGGTATATGTTAATATCTAACCTGACTTATGGGTAATAGTCTCAAAAAGGTTGGGAACCGCTGCACTACACAGTAGGTATACACACCGACACACCACACACCGTGTCATTCTCGCATATTCACAGTGTCACTGTGTCAGTTACATTTTTATAAGCTAAAAGCAAAATGGAGCAAAAAAAAAGAAAATTACCAGCAACTAGTAGTACTTTATTGAATTTTTTTAAAAAGAAGCCTGGGCCTGACGTAAGTATTACAATTTAAAATACTAAACATTATTAGACCCGGAATTAAATGTTTAAATATTATGTATGACTTATTCAACTTATTATAAAAATTAGCATTACAACTCGCGCTAAAATTATGCAAAATTAAATTAACACCAGTTAAAAAAAGTACCTATTAAAAATATAATTGCAGTCACTGCAGTTTATTCAATAACTATTAGTTATGTCATATTAATTATTATAAAACATTTAAATGAGTATTAAAATATTAAAACATATTTGTAAATGTATAATGTTATGTAATATAGAATGATTATATTTAGATGTGTTGAGTTATTAAATTATACAAAATATAGATAAGGGGGTGTGGGCCGTTGGGGCAAAGGCCCCCACAAGTTTACCCTCCAATTTATTTTGATCCCCCCCCCCCCATTAAACATTCTCAGTTACGCCACTGGTCGTCACGTACTCACGTATTGTATACAGTGCTTGAATTGGAAAAAAAATAGAAGGGGTATGCAAAAGTATAAAACATTTGTGCGTCCCCCCAACATTTAAATGTCTTATCAATTCTTGAAATTAGAAGGGGTACGCTAAAATATTTTAAAAATAGAAGTTGGACTCCGTCCCCCCTCGCCCCCCCCCCAATTCAACCACTGATTGTATACGAGAAAAAAAATTAGATTATTTTCATTTTAACATCGCGACATATCATATTATCTGTACCAGAGCGGCCTCTCGCTATTTTATTATAATAATATACTATCTGTAAGACTGTACTGATGCTTTTGGCATGGCAAATGTTGGTAAATAACACTGTCAATAAATAATTAAAACACGCACATGCCGAATACAATAATTTTTTCATGTCGAAAACATTAACGTATACTTATAAAATACTATATTTATGATGATGATATAGTGATCCGAAATAAATAGAAATACTCGAAAACGGTGACTATTAATCCATTATAGTTACATAATATTTAAGTTAAAAAATTCAAAATGAGACGCTATTTGTAAAATAATATTAGCTATAATTAAATATTATTATTTCTTAAATACGCCATCGAAATAATATTATGAAAAAAACGGTTAAGTGGGTGTCACTCTGTTGTACAGTAGGTTACAAGTGGGTCATTGTATAATGGATGGTATTATATTTGAATTCAATGATATAATAATAATATTATTGTATACGACAAACGACTCTGAGCGGAGATGGTTTGTTAGTCTGTAGTATATTTTATATTATATTTATATTGTTATTAATTATTATTAATACAGTATAGCTGGTAAGTTGAATTAATATTATAAAATTTCAAAAAAAACTTAAAACGCTATTTAACAATATGTAATTTCCTCCAAATTTAAACATAAAATAACTATTAAAAAACTGAGTTTTTATATTTTTGAGATTTTTTCGTTACAGAATAGTAGAATACCCTACATACGCGGAACCTTGTTTTAAATTTGAAATCCTTAGCTAAAAAAGTTGAACATTTTATACATTTTTAATTACAAAGTCAATATTAAATTTAATAAATTTTATCAAAAATCCAACTTAAAATGCTTATAAAATAAAAATGTAACTATGTATTTTGAATATTTTTCAACTACTATTGTAACAATATATCTAGAGCCTTGTATTACATTTTCACACTTTTTAACCCAACAAATACAATTTTATTGACATTTATATAAAAAAAAACTAAAAAAATTAAAAATTAAAATTTCCGTAAACACCTCTAAACAGGTAAAAATATTTTAAAAATTGTATCAAGTATAGGAATTGATAAAATAAACATACGGTTTAAATTTCGTGTATCTACAGTTATTCGTTTTTGAATTATAAGAAAATAAGGCATATTCAGGCTACATGAGAAATGGAGTTAATAACTTCAAACACTTTTAAAAATTTAATTTGACTTTCCTGTTGACATTTTTCCGTGTTAATATTAGAGAAACTTATGAGGAATCTTGTGTTCTATTTTCAAATCTTTGATTTGAAAAGAACATTTTTAATGAATTTCTCACTCAAAATAATTTGCACATTTTCCTAGTTTTTACGTATTTTGTCAAAATTCGAACTCGAATCGCTCATAAAATAATTGTGATTTAGAATCATATACAAAGATTGCTGTCGAAATGTCATTATTAAGTAAGGTTGGTACTATTTTATTGTTTGTTTCTTTTTCAAAGTTTATCGATTTTTACACAAGTTAATAGTTATATACACGTAAGTGAAACGCGAGTACACAACTACACCGAAGCCAGTTTCCAGAAAAAAATTTCTAAAACGTAATTATTATTTTACATTTTATAATATTATTATAGAATAATAAAATGTATAGTTTCTTGTATTCTGCAGCCGACGTTAACAAACATAGGGATGACACATTGACACATTATTATTTATTATTACTATGAAAACGTAATGACATTATAATATTGTCTGCTGTTGACTGTTGTATAGACTACAGAATGTGTAGTGAATACTGATGTGCAAAGCTCGGCGGCGTTACCACCGACGTGATGAAATCCTGGTACCGAGTAACCGACGATGGTCTTTGAAATGGTCGCCGCGTGCAACAGGTGTGTCCGTCGAGCGGTGACCGCGAAACGGTGACGGCGGCTGCAAGAACCGCGACGACTGTCTGCATACGGTCCTGGTAGTGCAGGACTCTTAAACAATGCCCTCGTCGAGGACGTCATCGGACGTTGTGAGCTCCGATCTGATCGGCTCTTGCGCCCGCCGATTGCGCCTACGACCCTGGTAGACTGTCACGTTTTGAACGTACGAAACAAAGGAATGAATTCGAACGAATGAACGAAACGAACGAACGATTTCGAGTGAACGAACGAAACGAACGAAACGAACGAACGAACGAACGAACGAACGAACGAACGAAACGAACGAACGAACGAACGAACGAACGAACGAACGAACGAACGAACGAACGAACGAACGAATTTCAATTACCTACGTTTCTTTTTCTCTAATGTAACTTTTTGGATAGTTGGTATCGAATTTTAATTTCTAGAGGGTGCGTAAAATATTCAAAAATATTTCATGAGAATCGTATTGTAGTAGAAAATTATTTTATCTCGAAAGTCTATTATAAGAAAAATATTTTGACCGAACCGTGAATATTAATTTGAAAAATTAATACATGAGAACCGTATTTCGTCCGAATAAAAATAATAATAATAATAATAGTAATAATAATAGTACCTACCTACTGAAAAGAAAAACAACATAATATAATATAATATTTCATTTGAAACGTATTTTATCCTGAAATTATTTTAGTGAAAATATTTTAACCGAAAGCTGGGTTGAACATTATTTTCTAACAATTTATTTTCGGATGTAATATTTTTGAATAAATTATTTATGGAGTTATATTTTCGTATCGAAGTACTTTTTTTTACTACATTTTAGTACTTTTCAATTAAAATATTTTTGGTGAATATATTTTCGGATATTTTGTAGGTATTTGTTTGCAGTTTATATTTATAAGGGAATAGTGAGGACTTGCAATTTTCATTCATATTAATATTTTCTATAGAAGTATCAAAACACTGGAATTTTTTCAGTCATCACATTCTATTTGACATATTGTTTTGCTTCAGTTTATGACTTGTGAGTTATGTTGATTACATTTTTATTTTAAATCACAAAGCTTGAAAATATAATACAAGGTTCCTCTTCCTCATAAGTTGACCTTATACGTTTTTCTTAAAACTGTTTTAGTTATTTTGTTGCTATTTAAAAACTATTATTCGTAGAAACTTAAAAATTCTGTTATTGTCTATTGACTATTAAACTGTATTTATAGAATATTTTTATATCGGTCCTTCCATCAAGATTATTTAATATCGATTTTATAATATATCTTCGTATTCTAAAATCAATTTAAATCATACGATTAATAAATAGTGGTTCAGAAATACTCTACGACTGGCTACTGCAGCTGATAACCGTGACAATAATTTTTTTTGGGACTTTGTGTTGATTTTAATTCTGTTAGGAAATACTCCAATGAATATTATATTTTTTAATAGTCTGATTTAATGTACGTATAAAGTATAATAATATAATTAATTACGCGCAGCGAGAGACCAGGAAGCGTACGCGTTTTTATGTATAGATTCTTGTCATTATATTTCACAAAAAAACATTTCAATTAATCTGTCATTTTCCATTTCAAGTAGGAAATCTTACCGGTTTCTTTACGAATTCGTACCCGTTTAGTGGGATATTATTAATTTTTTTTTTGTACTCAACGCACTCTTATATTATGTATTTGTTTTTAAAACATGTAGGTAGGTGTTAAAATTGTACACGACAAACTTTGTATACTGTATCACGTATACAGAGGTACAACTGTATACACGAATACACGTTGTATATTCAAAATTGTTGGCAGTAGGTACTATACATAGATACTACGACGTCTGTAAAAACATAATAATAATATCTAACGAGTTACGGCCAACAAGTTATACTATCGTATGTAAATAGTGTTGTACAAGTAGTTTAATTTTTTATCACATTATTTCAAGCTCGTCGTCGTCAATTCACGAAAACAACTGGAATACAATTAATTAATCAATCACTTCTACTACTCGAGCGTCTCGAGCGTGGATTTCGATGATTCGGTGACAAAAATATATTATTTTAATTTCCGTGGCATTCGACGTTACGTTATCGACCGTCGGTACTACCGGGTGTGCTCGTTTTCTAATGATATCCTGTTACGCCCACACGCCCGACAATTGGAATACTTTGCTTTTACAATTCATCGCAAATTTCGTGTGCACCAACAATGATAATATTATACAAGAGACTCCTTGTGACTCGATTTGGAATATTATTACAGCCCACATTAATCTAGGTTTGGTGCGTTCGAATGCGATAATTTTTTTTTTCGTCCTAACGTTTTTTTTTCGAAATTATTTAAAAAGCAATTTTATCAAATATAAGTTCATACCGACTGACGAGTGTTATTGAAAGACTTGGTAATATTAGATAGGTAACTATATAGGCTATATCTTACTTATTAATACCTATAATTGTATAAGAACGAAAAATAGAAGTGAAAGCAGTAGAATAATTTATCAATTACCTAACTTATAAAAATAATTTTTTTCAGGTTGTTAATTTTTCTTCGAATACCTAATTTAAACAAATTAAATGTTCTTAGAGTTTACTTTTTGTAGGTGGGTACCTAAAGTATATTATTGTATATTTGTATAAGGTATAGACGTATACCTAGTAGGTTATGTTTTTCAATAACATCTCAAACAGTAGGTACCTAATAAAAAGTAAAATCTGTAGTAAATATATTGATTTATAACGTTGATCTATTACGTTTATATTATGTATTAAGAGGACGCCACACCACTCGTAATTCGGTTGTAAAAACTGTTTCGCGCGGGACAACTTTTCTCGCATCATAACTATAATAGAATAACCAAAATTTTACAACACATAGAGAAGAATTTTATCTATGTCGTAGCGTTTTTATTTTTTGGATAACATAAATACGATTAAAGTTATTGGTTTGAGAACATTAGGTTTTTTTTGTATTTTTCAATTAATTATTAAAAATTATTGGGTAGTGTTATCAAAAAAATAACGACGCTACGACACAGATAAATTTCTTCTTTATAGGGATGTAAAATTTTGGTAATTTTTTTGCTAATATTGAAGGAGTAAAGTTGTCCCGCGCAAAACAATTTTTGGCATGTGAAATTATTGTAAAATAATTTTTCTAATTATTATCGAAATATTCCCTGGTGGCGTAAAACAGCACAACGTGGCTTCCCCTACTCTATTCAAGCACTCGCGTTTTTCGTTATCGGCCCGCACCGTCTGCCGTCTGGCGTCTCGACGAATTATTGTGACAGAAATAAACATTCCGATAATCAGAATTTGATAGACATAATCATGAACATTAGAGGAAGGACGCCGAACTGTGTATATAAAAGTGGTCCGGAATTATCGCATTCCGCCAGAATGCGCGTCGGACCGTAATGATGTCGTTTTTACATGTACAGCATAGGGAATTTATTGGTTTTTTAATATTATATTCTAAATGGTGTAACTTATGAATAATTACTATAGAACATTTTTTTAAAACCAAATTGCCCTCGATCGAATATATGTGTTTCCAATAATATACGACTTTTATAAAAAAAGATATAGTTGTTGTCTCTTTTTATAAAAGTCGTATATTATTGGAAACACTTATATTCGATCGAGGGCAATTTGGTTTTAAAAAAATGTTCTATAGTAATTATTCATAAATTTCACCATTTAGATTATAATAATAAAAAACCATTAAATGTCCTATGCTATACAATATGTAAAAACGACATCATTACGGTCCGACGCGCATTCTGGCGGAATGCGATAATTCCGGACCATGTTTTTACGCTTCGTTCTGCTGTGTTCGGCGTCCTTCCTCTAATGTTCATGGACATAATATTATTATCTTGAATAATGAAAATAGACTATAGCCCTACTAGCATACAATAATAATATAGTATATAATATAATCAATGGGTATTACAAATTAATTATTTATATTTTATAAGCTACACTTGGTCGTGCCATTGACAGTCTCATCTTGGTCACCTTATGACAAGATACGCTGTGGGAGTGGGATTACTACATACTTGTATACTTGTGACTTGTCTATGACTACATAGTACATATTACGATACTCGTCTAATTTATACCTAATTGTAATTAATCAAGATCAGAGTGGCCTTTTTATTTTATACATTGTACCTATTTAATTTGTATACACTTGAACATAACTATATCTATTTTTTTTTGTGACAAATTTGTTTTGTCAATATGTCACCAAAAAAAATTCGCGATTTGAAGGTTACTTGGTTCGGTTTTATAGTTTCTATTCGTATCCGAATTTTATACTAATAATAACTATACTTTTGTTCTTCAAGTATTGAAGCGAATTACAACAAAACTACCTATTATAAAAATTGTAGAGGACAATTTTTTTAACAATCGTAAGAAATCCGTTTTTTGATATCGTATTCTAATCGTCCAATATCACATGGTGAACTAACACGGTTTTTAACTTTTTATCCATTAATTATTCAACTAATTAATACAAATATCGAAAAACGGGCTTCTTAAGATTGTTAAAAAAATTGGTGAATATCGTTGGTGCATTGGGGAGGTCAAAATTTAAAATTCGCAATAATTTTCAAAAGCGCCAAGAAAAACAAAAGAAAAATTAAGGAAAAACGGGAATTTTTACGCAAAATCGATTTTGGTTTTTGGTGTAACTTTAAAACAAATGACCGTAGATACATGAAATTTTCAGTGGTTGTTTATATTTGCATTTTCTATACACGATAACATTTTCAAAATATTTTGATTTATTTTGAACTGTTTAGGGACATTTTCAGTTTCCAATTTTATTAGTTTTTTTTTTTATGAATATCAATAAAAATTTATTTGTTGAGTAAAAATACTTGAAAATGTAATACAAGGCTCCTACTATATTGTTTCAAAGACAGATGAAAATATTAAAAATCGTTAGTCACAGTTTTTTTTTTAAGCATTTAAAGTTCAAAAAATGACAAAATATGGAAAAATCACGAAAATTTGCAAATTATTTCTAGTTAGAAATTCATAAAAATTTTGCTTTTTAAATCTAAGATATGAAAATGTA